TCTAACCACTTTGCTTAAGTATTGTTGTAGAATTTTTTATAGGCTATTCACCCCCCCTCTAGGCATTAGGACCTTTCACAAGTGAAGGGGTACAATGGCTCTATTTTCTTAGAGCTATAAATCCAAGCATTAGTCAGCCTTGGGCTGGTTGCTGAGCACCCTTAAGCCTTGGTGGCTTGTGTAGGTGTGCTTGGGAGCTCTCTAACTCACATGCGCTTGATAGTGATCATCCGATTGAGTGTGAGTGCGATTCTAGTGCGATTGCATTATGAGGTTGCATCGAGTGGTACTAGGTGATCCAGTTGCAAACCGGTGGTGCTTGTTACTCTTGGAGGTTGCCACCTCCTAGACGGCTTGGTGGCTTGTGACTCCGTTGAAGCACGCGAGAAGATTGTGCCATGCTCTGGAGGAGGATTTGTGAGGGGGATTGTGCTCACCCCGTGGGGATCGCGAAAAGCAACTCTAGTAGAGCGTGTCATTGAGCTACCCTTACTTTTGAGGTAGATTCTTGCAGTGCCCGACATGCGGGCTTGGCTGTTGATGCCAATTAGCCGCCGAACCACAAAGTGAGCGGTCGACACAACGGAGACTAGCGTGTTGGCAAGCATGTGAACCTCGGGATAAAATCACCGTATTATCCTTGTCTTCCCGTTGGTTTGCATCCCCTTTACACAAGCTTGTATTTACATTTTATATATTGTGCTTGTGTAGTTGCTCTAGTAATTAGTTAGCTTGTGTAGTTTGCTAGTTACCTTCTTGCTTGTGTAGCATAGAAGTAGCTCCCTTGCGTAACTAAGTTGGTTTTAGTAACCTTGTTAGTTACATTGCTTAGTTTGTGTAGATAAGTGATTTGCGCTCTATAATTTAGCTTGTGTAGCCTTGTTATTGGGTATTGCTAGTGAGCTTAGGTGGCTTTGTGCTTTTGCATCATTAGTTGTGTGGGAGCTCCCTCAGTTGCTTGAAGTACTACTGCATAGGTTTGTGTGACCTTGCTTTAGGGTTGATTAGGTGAGCTCTAACTAGCCTGGTACCTTTGTTGTCTCTTTAGGATCTTTATAAGGTGCTTGTGAACTTAGATAGAGGAGTGTAGTCTTGGCTAGACCAACAATTTTAATTTCGCATTTATTTTAGTTAGCCGATACAATTAAGTTTTAGAAATAACTATTCACCCCTCTCTAATCCATCATCTCGACCCTACACCCGGATCCTTCGTACCCATGCCAAAAGGCAGAGATTTGCACCGCCAAATCTTCAACCACTGGATCAGAAATAGGTACCCGCACTAGACCATGGCCTAGCTGGCATTCCAGCCTAGTCCGGCATGAACTACACTCGGGGTCTCAAGCATCAAGCTGCCCCAGGACGTCTCCCCCTCCATTAGGGTCCGGCAGGAAACCCGTCCCATCCCGGTCCAAGGACCTGCTGCCATGCACAACCATGAGCAACGAAGGGTCATCGTAGAGTAGCTTCCCCAGGAAGCCTGGGGCACCGCCACACTCGTCACGGTGACCAACGAGGGATATGTCATCACTGCACGCCCTGTCACGCTGGTCCCCCGCCCCCGACATGGAAAGCAGGAGGGCCTGCTCAATCAACATTGGGTCCGTATCCATACCCAAGTCAACCTCGTAGCAACTGATATGACTTGCCAGGGGGTCAAAGCTGTCCTCCCCTAGCTTTTCACACGCCATGAGGGCCTTGGTTCCTGAGTTGCCGCAAAACCAGGAGGGCCTGCTCGACACGGCGTCCCAGAAGCGGCAGACCATTGATCCAATGACCAACGACTGCTTCGACGTAGATGTGGGCCTACAACCACGCACCAATGACGGGGCGTCGTCGTCACCTCCGGCCAAGCTGACCGGTCCGGACCCTCGCGGTGAGCCGCCGCGGCAACAGTCAAGCCCCGGATGATAGCGGTTGCAGTTGCTGTTGCCTGAGTCGTTGTCGTCATCCGCACCGCCGCCAAAACCATCATCATCCGGAGATGGCCCCCGCGACGGGCCGCCGTGGCCATCATCAAGCCCCGGGTGATAGCGATTGAAGTTGCTATCATATGAGCCGTCATCCTCATCTGCACCGCCACCATGACCTCCCTCATCTGGGAAAGCCGGCGGCGTATTCCAATCCTAGAACGCGGCCAATCAGAGCCGCACCAGATAGCACAGGCCAGGAAGCTCTGCCTGAATGGCCTCCACGGGGTTGTGAACGCGTGGCTCCGGGATGAAGATGATCTTCTCGTAAGGGATGAAACGCGGGTGCATACACTACGCCGCAACGAAGAACTCGCAGCCATCATCCGCCGGCATATCCCTTGGCCAAACGACTTCGACGTCCGCACAGGCGGGACCAAGGATGGTCTGCACTGTGGAAGCATTCCGAGCATGGACGGGCACACGCCTCATCCCCACCAACACTCTGTACCTGAACGACCCACCGGAGGCCATCGAGGTCCTCCGCCAAGGCCGCCAGATCAAGGAGAATTGAGCCCCCACCGCCGGAGTGCTGAGAACTCGGTCCCTGTCCTCGCGACGCCTGAACCGCACAACGAAGTCCTCAGGGACATGGCGACGTACCTCAGCATCTTCCCCCGCCACACCAAAACGGTCGAAGAGGAACTGGCGGACCATGGCTGGCGACACCGGGGGCCTGGTACCACCACCGACAGCGACAAGCGCAAGGCCGAGTTCGTCCTCCGCAGCCTGCAACTCCGCGGAGCGAGGAACAACGATAAACTCCGTGCGACGCGGCCGCGCCGGGCGGCCCTCCGGTTCTGCAGCCCCGGGGGACCCCGCCGGAGGGGGAGGAGGTGGAGTCGGGGGAGCGCAGCAGCAAGGGACTGACAGTTCTAGTGGCATCAGATTACTTAAGTGGTTTCAGTAGCTTTGTAAGGGTACAAGCTTACGCATGATGAGATTGGCAGTTTCCCTGCGCTCTGCAGCCACTCCAAGTTGCTCCAGAACTCTCCATCCGTTGGCATGAACACCAATAGCCACTCCATCTGCTCGTAAGGTCTCAGATTTCTCCAGCACCAGACTAGCAATCCCTTTCCTATATGCATGCCATGTTCAGAGCTAGTCATGTTACTCTATAGGTGAAAGGATAAATTAACTGTGATGTGGACTTGTGGAGCAAGTGCACGCACCGGTGAAGAGCGAGAGCAGTGGCAAGGCCGCAGATGCCGCCGCCGACAATGACGATGCCATGGGCTTCCCCCTCCATGTCTGCCTCCTTCCTTGTTTACTTTACTCTTCCTCAATGAGCAAGCGTCGGCAATCACTTATACGCAGCAAATACGAAGTGTTTGGACGGGTGGGACGCGCGCGTGGTTGGTTGGTTTGTTTTGGGCCCCGTTCGGTTGTTCCGGAAAGGGTCATTCCAGGCCTGAAAGTATTCCTCCGTAGTACAAATTTGTGAAGAAAGGGTTGGGCTAGGAACCAATTCCAGGTAACCGAACGGAGCCTTACCGGGTCTTGGAAACGCCAGCTGCATGCATACATGCATGGACACAGTCATACTCAGCGCTTCATTAATTTTGCACCTTGGTAGTATATGGGTGTGTTTAGTTCCTTCCAAATTCCTTTGACACTATGTAAAAAGAAGATTCTCCGTTACATCAAACTTGCGGTACATGCATGGAGTACTAAATGTTGACGAAATCAAAAACTAATTGCACAATTTGGTTGTACTTTGCGAGACAAACGTTTTGAGCCTAATTAGTCAACGATTGGACAATTATTACCAAATACAAACAAAATGCTACAGTGCTTCTGTCGGCGCTACAGTGAATTTGCCGGCACCAATTCGGTGCAACTAAATGTGGCCTATGTAAAACTCTTCTCCACGCCTTGATAATGCATTATGGGCAATTGGGCATGGTCGATAATGCATTAATGTTTGCCCCCAGACGCCGAAACCCCAGAAATTGCAGCAAGTTGTGACATTTGGCGAAACATTACAAATGACAGCGTTCGGCTGAAGGGCATCTGACAAGACGAGACATGACAAACATCTTTCCTAGAGAATCTTGGACAACAAGCATCCTTCCTTGCAATTTTCTTAATAACTTACTCCCAGTCCCAAAAATAAATAATGTTTTTTTTTACTTTTAGATATCGTATTTGACCATTTATCTTTTTTAGTTTTTATGCAAATTATAATATAAATAAATTATTATTAAAGTATCTTTAATAATAAAATAAGTCATAACAAAATAGATAATATTTACACAAAAAATTTAAATAAAGCGTACGGTCAAACAAGATATCTAAAAGTAAAAAAACGTCACTTATTTTTTGACGGATAGAGTAGGTAAGAAAGCAAAAAAAAAAAAAGATGGCTAACCGGCAGATACAAATAGGTCAAATCGTTAAATAATTACCAATAGATAAATGCCATCAAACTCATAAGAGGACTTTTTTCACAAACAAAACATATTTAGGTCATTCCGAACCTACATCACTGTTTGGTTTAAGTAATGGCATGACCACATTCGTAACCAAAACATATTATTTAGGTCATTCCGAACTACATCGCTGTTTGGTTTAAGTAATGGCATGACCACATCCGTCATTAACCCATTCCATGGAGCAGTAACCGCAGGCCATAAAAACTCATCGGACCAACCCATGCAGAGCGAACCCATGATGCATTGGGCCAACCGTTAATCTAAACACGTTGTTAAGAATCTAGATGATCACTTTGAGAGTTCATAGACCCAAATAAAAATATAAGAAAAGTTTAATTAAAGATACAGGCTGTATTTCACTCTTTAAAATATTATTAAGCCCTATATGCGCTACGAGCTCAAATCGATTGTTTATACTATTACATTAGCTAAGTGCACGGTCTATCAGCAAGAATCCATGCTTTTAATAAAAAATATAAAAAGAGAGTTTTATTCTAGACAAAGGGTACAATATATAAGCAAAGCACAATAAAAAATATAAAAAGAGAGTTTTATTTAATAGACTAAAAAAGATACAATAACAAGCAAATCACTTTTAAAGGCGACCGCAGTCGTAGTTGGTGTGGCTGAGTGCCTTGGTGCCCAGGAGAGCGAGGATGGCCAAGCAGGCGAGCTTCGTGGCCAGCGACTTGGCTCGCAGTAGTTCCCCCATGACGAAGGCCTCCAACGAAAGCCTTGCCACCCTCAGCCTCCTCTCCCTAATGTACTCCCCAATTGCCGTCGTCGCCGCACCGATCATCATCTTCTCGCACGGCTCATCAGCACGGCCGCCCCCACTCCCAGCGGCGGCTCGCGCTAGCGACCGGGCGAGCACGAGGGCGTCCTCCAGCGCCGCCGAGCCTCCTTGGCCGATGTACGACCCCATGGCGTGCGGTGCCCTTCTGGAAGCTGGCGAACGCGACCTGCCATGGCGGCCGGTACCACACCTTGGTGATCACGTTCAGCGACTCGGAGTCAGAGTTCTGGACCATCTCGACGATCTCGGCGGGGCACTGCTGGCCTTGCAGCGTCTGTAGCACGGAATGCCTGGTGACACCTGCAAGCACAGGTGACATGCATCTTGGTGATGACATGGCCAAGGAAGAGCTAGGTGATCTTTGTGTTGATTAACATGCATGGCCAGTAGTACCCTACCTGTAGAAGGGATGTGACAGGCTACAAAGAAACTGACGAGAGTGTCGGTGATGGGCGAGCGTCCAACGAAGAAACGCTTGCCCCGTAGACGCAGGAAATGGTCTCCGAAGGGATGCCCGTGCGGATACCTTGTGAATCCACGCAGAAACGTGCGAGGGGCTGATTTTGCCGGAGACATGCCTAAATACCTTGCCACCACTGAGTTGGAGCCGTCACAGCCAATCAACACCTGCAAGATGGGAGTACTCCTATATCAACAAAAGAATTCAGACCAAGGTTGGGATAAAAATGGATCATGTTATAGGAGTTAAGATAAGATCGATTGATGCTGCCTTGGCCCTGATAATACTGCCACCCGGTGTGGTAAGGACCGCGCCGGGATCTGATGGATGGATCGCTGTGATGTGGCAACCCAAACGGATCGCTCCTACAGGTATGTTCTTGGCCATTGTCTCAAGTAGATCCTTCCTCTTTAACCATCGGAGCTCCTTTCTAGGCAAGGACCAAGTGACAGAGAGATCAAAGTTAATGACAATCACTCTGGCCGTATAGGATTGCATCTTACAAGGGCTCTTTGTGACGGTTAGCTAGTTACTACCTGACGGGTGTCAGGGTGCTCTTCTCTTCTTCCTGCCACACGTCGTGAAACCTGGAAAAAAATGACAGTCACAAAGCAAGCTCTACTGATTCTGAATCTGATGGCATTTGGTACGAAAGGTCAGTCTCCTCTTCCTGAATGAACATCTCGTTCCTAATTCTACTACCTACCCGATTCCACTTTTCAGTTTGATGGAAGTTCTCGAAGTCTTACTAATCTCAAACATATGAAGTTATCCTAATATGGAGTATTTCGGATGGGAATCATCAGGATCAAGGCAATGGTAAATGCTGGTTGCGAGAAGAAGATTTGGCATTCTATACTAGTATTCAGAATAGATTAATTTCAGAGCAGAGGAAAATTTGCATGGCTAGAAAGTAGAAACTTACGCGGTGACAAGGTTGGCAGTCTCCCGGAGCTCTGCAGCAATCCCGAGTTGCTCCAGAACACGCCATCCATTGACATGGACACCAATGGAGCCGCCATCTACTCTCAAAGTCTCCGACTTCTCCAACACAAGGCTCGCAATCCCTTTCCTGGATGCAAATCAGCAGCAGATTGCATTGTTGTTGGCATGGCAGCTACTCCTACTTCAGAAATCGCAACTTGAATGCATTCAAGCTTTACCATTTGCAGGTAGAGACATACACCACGATATTGTAGAAGTAGACATAAACTGAAATGGTTACTCTAATACGGAGTACTAAAGAGGAAGAATAAATGGGGAATTTGAGACGAAGGGGCTGAAATGCTGCCATATCAAGCCGAGGAAACTAAAGCAGCCAGCCATGGATGTGATGTTACCGGTGGAGTGCAAGAGTTGTGGCGAGGCCGCAGATGCCACCACCAACGATGACGATGTCATGGGACTCCTCCATGTAGCCTCCTTGATTACAGTAAGTTTCTGCTGGTGCCCGGATTAGAGGATGCCGGGTTCATGCGCATACATCTTCATAAGTTTGCTGTTGGCGCTTTTGACTTCGAATCCTTATTGTTAAAGGGATGGGGCTCCAGAGCACAACCAACAACCGGGTGTGTGCCCCTCACCAACTAAAAAATCAAAAGAAATGTGCAAGCCGTGGATCGTGCTAAAGATTCTCATTCGATTGCCGAACATGCGATCATTGCTGCGGCGGGGTGCCCTGTCCCTGGATCACGGTACCCCGTGCCGTGCGTTGTCACGGTTGACCCCAACGCAGCGATGGCTCTTTGTAAAAAAAACGTCCGGCGGCATCAAGCTCTACGAGGGTCGCCCCATCGTCAACCGCCGCCGGTTGGTGCTTTACGCGTGGAAATAAACGCTTCGCGAAGAAAGGAGATGGGAGAGGTTGATTGGGTATGGGCCGGGCATAGGAGGAGTCAGCCCATACGAGGCCCAACTGGAAAGTAATTAACATTTGGTTAATCAATTACAGCTTGCTTTAAGATTTGTACTAATTTTTTGGAGGAAGTACATGAAGAGTTCTTAAAGAAAAAAATAGTAGCGGAGTAGATGAAAAGAATGATGGTAATGCTCTCTGCCAAGCGCGGATTCGTGTCTTCGCTGGGCCTTGACCGGTCCATTATTTTAAAAAAATCTGAACGCTTCCAACAGGACGGAACCGTCTCGTGTTGCGTGCCTGCGCATCGCGCCTCAGTCTGGACCTACTTCGCACGCGTGCCCCTGCGCCTCATGCCTCACGCTAGAACCGCCTCGTGCCGCGCACACCGCCGGTGCCTCGCGTCACGCGCTATCCACGCCTCGTGCCTCACACAGCCCGCCGCCCGCGCCTCGCGCCGCACTCCGCCACGACCGCGTCAACCTTCATTGGGCGGCAGCAAGTAGATGAGCACATGTTGCAAATGTATGTTTCATGTGTTTCAGATATATGTTGCATATGTTTTATCTGGATGTTGCAAAAAGTAGATCTAGTGTTGCATATGTTGCAATGGCTATACACGTGTGTTGCAAGTGTATATTTCAAATGTTTTCAGCTGTTTCAAATGTGTGTTGCAAGTGTTTCATCGGATGTTTCCTATATTGTTGTGGCTATACACATATGTTGCAAGTGTGTTTTCCAAATGTTTCAGCTGTTTCATCTAGATATTGCATGTTTTTATCTGGATGTTGCATATGTTGCAATGACTATACACGTATGTTGCAAGTGTAAGTTCCAAATGTTTCACCTATTTTCAGACGTATGTTGCAAACGTTTTATCTGGATGTTGCATATGTTGAAGTGGTTATACATATTTGTTGCAAACATATGTTTCAGTTGTTTCACCTGGTTTTCAGTATGTTACAACAGGTGCTGCTCCCCATGCGCTCTAACTCATGGACATGCACGCATAGCACGCACCCATCCAGCGTTCCCTATCTCTATCATGCGGGCCATCTCCAATAATTGGACGTGCACGCAACGGGTGATCAGTGCCTAAATGGTTGAGCACTCCCTAGTCAAACTGCATGCGCGCATCCAGAGCGCTAGAGTGAGCCAGCACCCAACGGACGCAGAACCAGGCGCCCCTGCACCACCAGGCTTGGTCCCCCATGGTGGAGCGTGCAGCCATGGTCAACACGGGTACACGAGCTGTGCTCACACCCTCTCTATCGCATGCAGCCGGACGGGCCCCATGCACATGCTCTCTGTCAACTGCAGTGTGCAAAGCAAGAGACCTTGGACCCATGGACCCGAAGAGCGGCAGGGGCGTGGGGGCAAGCGCACAAAGAACAACATGCTCGGAGCGCAGACAAGCCCGGCCTGCCAGTGCAGCAAAGCACCAACAGCATGGGGCTCAAAAGCATCGCCGGCAAGCGCAGCAACACGCAGCAGTGCTTGCGAGCGTCCGATGTTCGGACGCTAGCATGGCCCAAAGAATTAAGCTCAAAAGTTGACTTTTTATTCACATTTTTGTGTTTGGTCTGTGGACGGAAATAAAGATTTAGGCCCTGTTTGATGAACTAGAACCAGTGATTAGCTAGAACTAGTGATTAGCCCAGCCCATTCACTGACTAATAAGTAGTACTATCCCAATATAAAGACGATTTTGCCCCTGAGTTCATCTTCTTCATCGTTCTGCCGCATCTTCAACGCCGGCAACCGGACTTGGCTCCCCACACGAGCACGTCTGCGGATGACCGAGTGAGCGCGGCAGCATAGGCGCCGCATGTATGGAGGTGGATGGGCCACGTGGGTGGAGACTTCCTGGCGAGCTCCGCCACGGCCACACGGCGCGCCAAGTCAAGGCCGCCATGGCCGGCATGCAAGTGAGCTCCACCACCGCCCATTCCTCCTCCTCTCTGCCCCATAACAGCCGCCCACGAGCTCCTCTTACCGTGCCGCAGCCACCACACCCCTCCCCATGCTCCTCTCCCTATCTAGTGCCTCCAATAGCCACCACTGCCATTGCCGACCCTAGCTCAAGCTCGCCGATCTACGTGCACCCATCACCATTCGCCTCCCCGTTTGTTCCTTTAGAACCGCAAGGTCATGTCGAGACCACCCGTTGCATCTCGACACCGATCCGAGCCTGTAACATCATCCCTAAGCACGCTGGCAAACTCTCGAGACACCCTTGTCGATGCCAGTCATGGGTCCTCACGCGGTCGGCCTAAGGGCAGACATGGTGGAAGGGGTGAGGCAGCGAGGGCGGATGCGGAGGGGGTGGGAAACTCACCGGCGGCAGTCAGGTGAAGCGCGGCAACATGGGCGTACGTGGGAGTGTAGGATCTCTGGTTAGCCTAGAGGGGGGGTAAATAAGCCTATTAAAACAAAACTTGAGCAAACGTCAAATTTCACCCGCGGCACTGCTGGGCCAGAACTACGGCACTACGCACCTGCAGAGAACTTTGAGGCACAGTACAAAAACTATGAATGGAAAATTAGATCGGAGAAATTACTGAGCTTCCTGTAGGTATATAGTTCACAGATCGATAGCTAGAAGGGGTAGAAGTGGTACACACAAGTAGATCGACCGCAAACCCTACAAATCACCTTAACAACAATATAAAATGCAATTAAAGTAAATCAAGCACAAGGTGACATAAGTATTTATCCTGTGGTTTAGCTCACCATCAAGGCTTGCCTAAGTCCACGTTATTGAGGTTAGCCACTAAGGCTTAAAGCTTTGCAACCCTTCCTCGATCTCAAGTCAAGAGAGTTAACTCTTAAGATGACAAGTGAGTTTACTAGCTTCAAAAGATGGTTACAAACCTCGCGGGGCTACCACACAAGTCGGCAAGCTCCACAGGTGATGCTCTAGCCGGCTAGAAGCAAGCTCCAAGAGTAACAAATACAATCCACTAGCTAAAACGCGAACCAAGTGCTCTTAAGCTTTGGGAATTAGTGGATCTACTCTCTAATCGAGTTTTGGAGTCTTTTCTCTCAAGGATTGATGGAAAATCACAAAGAAATGCTTGAGAGCTCAAGGTCACTAATGGAGAAGAGAGAGAGTGAGCACTGTTCTATTCTGGTCGGTCTGAATGAGCAGAGGTGGAAGAAGAGCCGTTGGAGGGGAGTGTGAGAGGTATAAATACCCCTCAACTCCAACAGTCAGTTAAGTCACGGCAGTGTCGTGGCTCAACTACGGCAGTGCCTCTCTTCATATGCGGCACTACCGCACCAGGCCAGACAGCAAAGGTGAAAGCATTAAAAAACTGTCTGTCTTGGCTGAGCACATGAAGATGTATGTATATAAAATTGAGAACTTGGTTGCACACTTTAGCAAATTTATTATGTCCCCCTTTATAGTACGACATTCCTATACTTAAATTCAAAATATAAAAGAATTTAAACCTCCTTTGAGTTTGAAGCCATCCCTAATTGTAATTGGGGGGCTTCTCCATTTTGTATAACATCATCGATTATAAATTTCCTGCTAGTCATCTCGATAAATCTCATTAGTACTCTAATTGCATGGTCATTATCGTCAAAACCCATAATTAGAGCTTGATTGCACTTTCAATCTCCCCCTTTTAATGATTGATGACAATCCAATTAGAGTTTAAAAGATATGAAATATAACTGAGATTTTTTGAGCCATGGATGTAGAGCCTCCCCTTAAATGTGTGAAGGAAGAATTGAATTCTTCAATTGGTATAAGAGGCCAAGATTCACACTTTTAGTGAATGTGATGGGGCTCCCACTACATCCATGTTCCTATGGGGTGCTACACACTGTCAAGTATATAAACATGACGCAAATGACAGTTCATGCATGAAGAGTTTACTGAGACAGCTAGGTGCGGCACTGCCGCACTTACTACGATACCATAGATTTAAATCAAGCACCACACAGTAGATAATTTATATATAAAAGAATAATCCATCATAGATAACTGATAAGCTATATCACAGAAATAATGCATGTCCATATCCAATACATATAGAGTACTTAGGTAGCAATATTACACAAATAGAGTTTTCAGCGGCTCTCAAACTCACTCTTACCATCTAACTCTCAAAGAATAGGACATGAAACTCCAGCTGCAACGACTACCATGGCGTCGAAAAGAAGTTGACCCCTCTAATTTTCTGCTCCTTTGGCTTAAAACACCAAAAAGAGAAGAAAATAAGAAAAATCAACCAACTCACTCCTGTAACACCTCTGGTGTTACGAGCTTGCTTAGCACCAAGATTTAAACCTAAGAAGAATTACCGAAATAATTTTCTCGGATTTTAAAATTTTAACTTGTGTTTAAAAGTGTCAACTTTGGTAAATTCTATTGAACAACGGGTTAATTAGTTCCTAGATGTTTTGTTTCTACGAGTTAGTACGACGTATGGACTAATGCTTAAAAATGTCTGATAACAAATAAATAGGGTGAATGGCTTGTTATCTGATTAAGCATGAAAAATAAATTTTATAAACAAAAATACGATACGACTGGTATATAGTAC